AATGTTTCGCATTGCCAGCACTACTCATGACCGAGCACAGTAAACGAGATATTCATCTCAGCTACTTGTTGGCGGTAAAATTCGTATGAAACTTTCATTTCGGGGTACTATTGTAGAAAATCTGCATGCATTAATTTAATGTTAATATCACTTGGCACATATTTTCGATTCGGGGCGTGTTTCCTTCTATAATGTGATATGCTTGGATTAAAAGAATTAATATGAGAAACTACGTGTTCTCTGTCAATTTTTTTCTGAGATGGATGCCCTGTCTTTAATGATTTGACAAACATACATTTTGAATCATTTTGATTCAGAACATCTCTGAACTATAGTAGAACTATTCTACCGTTATGGACTTGATAGCCCAAAACTGGCAAAAAAAATATTTTGCAAACTCTTACATCATTCCCTGTATTAGCCTTTAAATAGTAGTTAATTCTATTATTTCGCCTGGAGTCTCCATCTTCAGTTTTCCTTTTTTATCGTTTTTTTTTTAACGGGGTGAAGATAAAATGACGCTGTTGTTCATGGGTCATTTCCCAGAGTTATTTATTTATAGCATTTTGTCTCCATATGTCAATTGCTTGGGTGCATTTTTTTGCACAATTTTCCTTACATGTTTCTTGCACGTCATGCTGTGCAATTTTTTCCTCTCTTTTCAGTTTCTGAAATGTAATGATTTGCTGTAACTTTTCCGTTTTTGTACTTTTCCTTCTTTTGTGAATTTTTGTGATTGATTTGGCAATTCAGACTTCACAGTAAAATCTGGATCTTGTGAATCATCAATAGAATTTTGCTTTAGTCTGCCATGTAAAATATTATCTCTATATGTGGACATTTTTTGAGCTAATTCCTTGTTTAGGGCCAGTAAAACTTACATTCGAATGTGCAATAGTTAAATATAAGATACTTGCTTTGTTCGCTATATCAACATAATATTAAAATACCATAATCAACAAAATATCTCTAATCACACTTGCCTATACGTCATGCGGCAAAAAGACTTAATAATTATTATCAATATGACTTTTTGATCATTACGACTTAGTACAGATACCAAGCCAAAATGTCGTAATTGAAATATTTTTAATCAGATACGACAATATGACTTGGTAATTATCATTACGACTTTTTGACCTGGTAACTGGTAGATTTTTGCAGATAGGACATATAAATATCATTGAAAAACCGTATTCTAAAGATGATACGAATTCCAGACCTTGTCTGAGAGGTAAAGCAAACTCTGTTATACCAGTATACTGCATAAGCTGAAAAAGTGAAAAATTGCTGATACGACTTCTTGTCTTAGCAGGGCAGCATTGTGCAAACATGTTAGCAGTCTGGTATTCTAATCAGGTTGTCCTCCCCCCCCCCTTATATCTAACTGGCAAAGGCAAAAATAAGAACATTAGGACTGTGTTTCCATGATGGCGCCCGAAGATGACCTGAATTATGCATGAATTTGTATTATTTGCCGAGCGGGCAGCGTTAATATCTGACCGCTTCGACGGGATTATGCATATTACGTCCAGGAAGACTGGCTGATGGATAAACGTGATGGAAGATCACGTGAATGCTGTGTTAGTCCCGACTGGGGAATCCGTTTACTTGCAAGCCATGGACGGGTTGTTCTAATTCTTCGATAGAAAGACGCTGCCATTTGAGTCTGCTACGGTAGGAAACTTTGTTGAAAACATTACTCCCTTTTTCTCCGAGAACGATTTTATATCAATACCTACAGATATAAAATAAGGAAACTTGGTAGTTGGGGTTTCTTTGTGTTCAGTTATTATTTAGTTCAGTGTTCAATGCTGAAAACCATTTACAGCTTTCTGCGTATTTCGTGTGGGTCTTTGTATGAAAATATATAGGGTACTCGATAAAAACGACTGGTGTGAATTTTCGAAAGACGATCATCAAAAGCATAAAAACCAGAGGTTGGGAAAACCTCAACTTTGCCAGTACTTACATCAGCACGTACATTAGTTGCATTAACAGGAGAAGACTAAAACAATTAAATGGATCACCCTGTATCCAAGGCGGCATATCTGCTATACACAGTGGACCAAAGAGCCCTAACGTTTACCTTGTAGAAGGATTAATGGGGCGGAGGTACTGCTGCCATTGGTCGGATGAGTGGCAAGGTTAGCCAATTCAAAGTGCACCTGTTAGCGCCGCCACTGCCTTAAATACCCTCTAATTCTGTTCTAATTTAGCGCAAGGGAGACGTTTTAATCAATAGCCTACATATAGAGTTCTATTAGAGGCTGCTGCAGACCACCGCTCTCTCTATTTTAAGATGACCGTCTCAGACCGTTCGCCCGTAGCCCCTTTTAAACTCCCCCGGCCTCAAAGGGAACGGCGCTTTCGCCCCTTTTCTCTTAATGCAGCCGCTGCCCACGGCTAATGTGGGGTACTCGATAAATATAATCAGATTCGATATCGAGGAAAATCTTATTACGTGCTACGTCTTACAGTGGCAGGCGAAAGAAGTTTTAACCGCGGATTAATCATGGTTTCGGTTAGCGGGAACAAGTCCGTTTTCCGGCCGATGGACCAGCAGGAGCTCTAAATATTTGAATACTCGTATTCGGGGCCCGTCTGTAAATTGTACATGATTGGCAAGGATAACATAGCCTGTAATTTACAACTGGACAAATAGCGTCTAATTCAGTTCTAATTAAATACACGAACGGACGCGATAGATGGACGGCCGGACTGACAGAACAATCGATTACCGAAGAATCGCCGGGCTTCCAGTAATTAGTTAAGGGACCAACGAGTAAGTCAATCAAGGGAAAAGAAACAACGGCGAATTGGAAAGTAAACTTCTCCCATTGGAATTCGGAAGGCAAACAGTGATGTTCTAATGAGCAGGTCAAGCCTACAAGAATGGTTACTTTTGAAACAGACAATTTGTTTAAGGAAGTTGCAACATTCAAATATTCCATTGGCAATTTCACTCTCACAATCTCCTCAAACTGCCGCTCCCTCGAAATAGCGATAGTTTCCCTTCGCATTCTTAAAATTTAATTACTGGCTGCTATTTTCATGCAAAACACTTCAACTTTTAATCGGCGACCCGGTGGAAAAAAACAATCCAGTGGCAGCTAACAATTAAGGCGTTCCTTAATGCACCGCTTTCCCCTGTATTGTTTCTGTTTCAAGGGTCAAGTCATTCTGGTCTGCGGTCCGAAAGAGTCTTGCAGTGTTGTCGTGATCGAAGCAATTTAATTAGAATTAACAACAAATTAGAGTAGTTGTTGCTCAAGGCGATTGTTGCTTGTTGGACTTTTAATTCATAAAAATGTGCAATTCTGCCAAATAATGGACAAGGCGTGGCTTTGCCGATGATACATGAGTAGGGCACCAGGGCATACTTCGAGCACCTCTTGTGACTTAAGAACTTATTTAAAAATAGATCATTGATTCACAACTTTTTATCTGCTGACATCCGTTACCCTAACCTATTGCATTGCATTTCAACCTCACTTTCTGTGATTATCTATGGATACTTGAGCTTTTGATATTCAAGAAGCAACAGATATTTACGTAATGTTAATTAGGCAGATTACCTTGAAAAACATTGTTGCCATCCTTCTGATATAGTTTTTTCCAAAAAACTCAGTTGTTGACAAGAATTAATGTATTAACTATTTTTCTGTAGTCCCCAGACAACACCCCCAGAGGAATGGCGCCAATTTCGGATCACCCTCTATATGCAACGGAAATACTTGAAAAACTGCGCCAACCGCAAACGACACCAAAAAGCCTGCGATTTGGATTTGCCAAGTCGTTCTGAATAAATGATTCATTGATGTTAAAATTCCTCATTTGGACCCTAAATCCAAAAGGGCGTAAAGTAAACCGCTTTAGATTTGAGAAAAGAGCAACGAATGAAATAAGAGCGTATTCAAAAAGACGAAACTTTTACTTCGTTTCGCATTTTATCGCCAGCATTTGTTGCGGAAGACTAATTGTCGCATGTT